ATTCATACAAAATGTTGGTATAAGCCCAAGCAATCCATGCCTAAAAAGAAATAAACACAAATAAGCACATAAATAACGTGTACTGAAATGCATTTAATACTTGACAGAGACTTGCTTTGGCAAACAATGCTTCAGAACGTCTGCTGTAAGCTACATTGCTCAAGTGTGATTTTGATTCATTCTTCCTATGAAATTGTCTTCAAGCAAACAAACATTTCTTTCTTGCTTTCAAAAGATTTTTTTTAATTGGATCGTTGCTGAGCAGTTGACAGTTTCATTGTTGCTGCTTTAAAAATTCAGATTTTTCTTGGTTATGTGGGATCATTGTCTTGCATCATGTTCCATTTTCATATTGTTAGAAAAAATTGTCTTGACAGTGAGATGTTCTCGCCTCTACAATGAACTATCTGTATGTCATTTCAGGGATAATGTGCAGCATCATTTCTCCTCTTACCATGGCGTGTGTACAATAAAATAAAAAAAGTTACATTTTGAGCTCTTCTGACCTCAGTGTATTCCCTATTTGGTTTGCTTGACAAGATGATTAGAAGCAATTTTAAAATGAGCTTCATTGTTGTTGTTTTTTACAGCAGAGACATTCTGTGTGATGACTTTATATACACTTTTTTTACATAAAACAAAAATAATAAAAAAAATGTATTCTCTCTTCAAGTGGTCCGTGACTCATCTGATTATGACTTGAGTCTTCTGACAAAACTTTTGTAAAGGAGCACCAAGAAATGACTGGATTATGGTGAACTGATGTTCTTTTCTTCCAAAATATGACCCAGATAATGATCTCATGGTGACATTATGAGGTTTAGAAATATGTATCTCCAGTGTTATTTTAGCATCAATTTTACACATAGTTTAACTTGTTGACTGATTTTTGCTTATTTATTTATTTGCACACCTGGGTTACTTGAATTGTTGCTGATATATTGCATGATTTTCATGTCAACTCCTCTATTATTTACCAAGAAAACTATTGATTTGTCTAATAATTTTCTCCTGTGTCCCAAAATATCTGTAAATTTTAAAATAATTCATCACACCTGAGCTGATTTCCAGACATTTCCAGATCCCTTTATGTTCTGAATCTGATCAGACTTCCAAGCTAAAACACTTTGTGGTATTATACTGCTAAATCCTGGTCTTTGGGATTGTGACCTTTATGGGATTTACTTCAGGCTCACAGTCTTCAACTTACCATAATGCTTTAATATGTTTTACACTCCTACTTTTTGGCTTTTTGCATAATGTGTGGGAAAATAAATGGTGATTTAAGGAAATTTAAAGAAACTCTTCAATGAATTATAAAAGTTTTATAGCTGGCGATCCCTCCTTTGTTCTTCCAATGAGGACCTCCACCTGTTTCTGATGATGTGAGCCAGAGCTTGTCCCTTTCAAGAGGCTGATCCCTCCTGATCTCTTTGATGTAACCTGACCTAACAGTTCCAACTAGCAGGATTTGACGATCACGGACAGACCCTCAGCAGCAACCCTGCACAAATCAGAGCTAACAGCAATGGGGGCGATAGGAGATGGGGATGTGCACGCAGACTTGGTAGGGCACAAAGACGGAAAGGGGACTCATAGAGCTATGAAGTGTCTGAACGCCAAACAGCTAGCAGTCACATGATCACTGCTGCCAACTCAGACTTAAGCAGTAAAACCTGTGAATCTGTGAGGGCACATGCAACTGATCGGAGATGAAAGACAAGCTTTGACTTTCACAGGAGGCCTGGAGTTGGGGTGGGGGGGCTATACCGGGGCACTTCTGAAGGACTGCCATCAGAACAGCTGGGTCATTTTCAGATGACCTAATTCTTGGATTAATCCAGTCAGGCTTGCATGGGTAAATTTGAGTGTATGCTACACAAAGAGGACAAAAAAAGGACAGAAAGAGAATTATTGGCAAAAGAAAGGCTTAGTGCTTCGATTTCAGCGAAGGTATGCAGAGAAACCCACCTTTCACACAATGGTGGGAAGTTGTAACCTTTTTTTTTTTTAATTTCTTAAGTCTGTTAACATGCCTAGTACATAGAACATTAGATGCAATCATCTACAATTCACTCTTCTTTGGTCGGAGAACATTTCCTCGCCAGGGCACTGCGTGTGTCAGAGGCCAGAGTCCATCTGCGAGTGATTTAAGGGTTTCATTTTTGAAGATGATGCGTGATAAAACAGGGAGGTATGGGTCAAAGTGACTATACACTCCGCCTGTGACAGAACCTCTACTCTTGGACCTTAGCACATGTTTTAATCTATCCAAGCATGTGTTTGAAGCATCAGATTCATTTTTCCTGGCTCACAGCAGCTTCACGTCATTTAGACAAGGTCTAAGTTAGGGTATTTTAAGCTGTTTGGTCATGTTGTCTTTTTGAATGGAATTTTGATGGATGGTATATGAGCAATTTCAAACATTTTGATCAACTTTTTGTTTTTTTCACAATGGAATCATAAATTTTAACAGCAAACAGTGCAGCTGTTTATTTGAGATAATCTAAAGCCAGGCTACCTCAATTGCTCCGAACCAACCCCTAAAGAGCAGCAAATTCACACACTGCTATGGAAATGTGCACAGTAATAGAACTCTGGATGATGAATAATAGTCACTTGGAAAACTGCCTAAAACAAAAGAAGGAAGTTAGTCATTATCGTTAAAAAAAAATGAACAGAACGACGTGTCGCTTTAGAGAAGTTATATTTTAACAGGCCTCTTCTATGTATTTTAATGTATCAGATGTATCAAACACAAACGTTTAATAGAAGTGGTATGATGTCAACGAGATGTGAGTGACATCAAAATTTCAATGTGGCATCACTCTTTAAAACAGGTGCGCAAGCTCCTCCTACTGAGAACAGGAAGTGACATGTTTTACTGGTGAAGGCATCCTAACTATAGCTATTGTTGAGGTTGCTCAGGATTAAGAACTATGACTTTTCACTGGAGGGTGTGGCTATGTGTGTAGGCATGGTGGCATGGCAGATTTTGATTTATGCTGTGTTAAAATGTGGCTCCAAATCACACATAGAACAACCAAACTGAGCATGAATGAATGAATGAAACTCCAGGCCAAATGAGTTGCAAAATAGATCCCTCAGCATCCTTTAGAATGTCTTGGTTACTGTGTATCCCACATTCAAGATTTGAGCACCGCAAAAGTTTCCGTTGCTAAACAAACATACTCAACATCTGGGTCATAATTTGCTAGCATGGTTTTCGTCCTGGCCGCTGAGAAAGTGAAATGAAATGTCCAATTGAAAGTTCCTCTTTAATTGTTAATCATATTAGAGTCACGCTTTTTCTGATGACATTATCGTAAGAACCCTATTGGAAATAATCAGTTTTCTTTTTGTTTGTCCATGCCAATCCTTCACTACCAATCAGGAAGTTGGGTGAAATGAATGAGGCACCTAACTTTTTGCTCCTTCACATCAGACATTATTCGTGATTAAATCCATTTTTTTAAGGTCTTGCAAGGAACACAACTTACTGGCTAAGTGTGCCTATTGAAAGACAGAGATTGATCTTACTGAAGAGTGGGGCGAAGCCCTGGATTAGGCCACTGACCAACCTTGAGTGAAGGCTGATCAAGGTTGCTTGCAGCTTTTCATTCAGACTTTATGTTTTATAATGGTCTTGTTTTGTGAAAGTTCTCTAAACATAAGGAGAAAGTAATTTTATCATTAATAATTTCATCAAGAAGGAACTGAAAGTTTCTTTTTTCACCAAATCTGCTGATAGCTAATTTTAAAATGTACTTTTATTGAACAATAAGAGCCTTAAAATATGAAGGCACTACTGTATGTCAATAGCAGTGCAGTTGAACTCCCATGAGTAATATACTGACTGACTAGGGACTGGCACCATCACTGTTCACCTCCACAGGTGACGCAGTTGTTTGAAGAAATGGAAGTGTTGATGCTCACCCTTGTAGAGCTAATTGAACATAAACAAAAATAAGTTCAACACCTAGCCGAATCCTGCAAAAACTTTTGTTTTCAAATTACAGGTTTGCTACAATTTCTGGGTGCTGGTTTGTTATGTCTCCAAGCAACTGTCTTCAGATGACACTTCTGATTTCCCCCCTCCTCACTGGATAAATCGCTATATAAATCTTTACTTTTGTTGCATTGATGCTAGAATTCAACATTCGCAACATAACCACATCACTCTCGCAAAACTTGTATCCATATTCTTGGTTGCCGTGTGCCTGCCCTTTTGGGATGCCTTTTCATTTTGTGGAAAATTATTGTGTCAGTTAAGTTATACACTTTGACCCAAAGGCGTCATTGACAAGACAGAAGCTGTTCCCTGGAAGCTCACCTCAACCATAACCAGGCATTCCTGTGTTAAAAAGCCAGCTTCCCATCAGGATGCTCTGCTCCACTTAAAATATACAGTACAGCAGGAAAGTTTTGGGAAGGACTGAAGTGGGAGGAAGGATGCAAACAGGGGAAGAAAGAGTGATGGCTGCTTTGATCTTCAGAGGCCCAGTCTGGATGAAAAAATAGAAGTGTCTTTTCCTTTAAGAAATGTGAGCAACTCAGAAATGGAATCAATAAAATACAAACATAAACAAATACAGTAGACAAATAACAAGTGCAAATTCGATCATAATAATAATAATATAATAATAATATTTTTTTCTTAAATGATTTCTTTTGCCACACAAAAAAAAAAATTGTAGGTTTTTCTCAGTTGTTTTTCTTTGAGTGTATTCTCACTTCATAAATTTGCGGTAGGATGGGAAATGGGCATTTCAAGGCCAGTAAAAGCTACCACATCAAATAAAACATTGTGGATCAAAAGAACCAACGCATCGACATTTTTTCCTGTTTAAATAAAAAAAAAAGAGAGAAAAAGAAGTGGGGCTAGTCTGCCACGCTTGATCGTGCCCTAAGTCCTGCCCCCGCAGCAGCGATTGGCTGGGTGGACGCACATGGGGGGAAAGTTTGAATAAAATACAAGAGCATGGCACAAGTGTTGTTGTTCAAGCTTGTGCGCTTGATCCAGAGGCACTCCAGTCCGTCTTGTAAAGCAGAGGTTTGACTTCTGTCTGAGAGGGTTTGCATCAGGTTCAGAAAGCTTAGTGGATGACTTGTTGGTCTCTTAGGACTTTTTTTGTTTTTAAGTCATTTTAAATTTGACATCTTAGGAGCTTGACAAGCTCCGTCGAATCCGGGCGTGATAGCCGTTGATTTACTCAGGAAAGTTGCGCGCATCGCTCCGTCTGTTGTTGTATCTGTTGAAACATCTTGAGATGAAAGCCGTCAGAATGGTCCCATCCCTGCTCCTGGTGCCGCTGCTGCTGGTGCTGATGCAGCCCGGTGCTCTGTGCGCGCGGAGGTTCCGGGGCGGCCGCAACCCGCAGCCTCGCCGCTCGCCGCCCCCTCCCACGCACCGGTCGGACAGGGGCGACACCACGGAGAGCTTCCCTCTGGACTTCACCGCAGTGGAGGAGAACATGGATAACTTCATGACGCAGGTGAAGAACCTCGCGCAGTCCCTGTACCCGTGCTCGGCACAGAAGCTTGACCACGACATGAAGCTGAACTTTCTGGTGAACACGTCAGTCACCTGCAACGACGGGAGTCCCGCCGGGTACGTAGCAAATCACGTTAGCGCGCAGACACGTATGTGGTCAAATTTAGTTTCAGGGTCACCTGAGCTGCTGCTGTTGTGCCTCAAGCGGGGCTTTCTCTGCTCCTGGTCACCTGCAGTCAGTCGCATCTGACTTGAGAAAGAAAGTGCTTTTCCAAAAGTGAACTTTCGCGACTTGGTCAAGTTTGTTTCCCAAATTAAAATCTTACTTTGTACATATATACTTAGAAATGTGAAGTTATTTATGAAAGTGAGCCGTAAAAAGCGTTCTGTTGAGACGTCTAAGATGTCTAAATGTGGTTGAAGTGTTTAGGGTTTGTTTTTCGGCTAACCAACCCTGACTTTTGATGTCCTTCCTTTGGCTACGTTTACACTAAACGTATGGACTTAAAAATAAAGTTCCGTTTTGTCATTCCCCCCCCAAACGACGTCGCAGTGTTAGCAGCGTCTGTTGGAAAACACATGATTGGCAAACGTGTGTAAAGAGTGCAAAAGTACAAAAAGCGGAGGCTCAGTCAGGATAAGGTAGGATCTGGACAGCTGCTTTGCGTCAGCGGAGCATGAAATTTGCGGGGAGCCACATGGTCCATGCTTCATTTCCTTTGCTTCAAATTAGAATGCAGGATTTGCTCTGCAGAAAGCTTCGGTGTAAGTTTGCAGACCCCTGCCTATTGCAAGCACGTTACTTTCAGACAGAGAATGTTTGACGACGGGACCCAAACAGTGGAGTTGGGATGTTTCAGAAGTGTTCTGCTTCATTATTCTGCAACTGACAGCTAAACCTATTATGTATTTGATTGGAAAAAGAGATGCAAGCTTTGAAAAATTGTTTTATATATATATATATAATGTATGTCCTTGTGCATCAATTTAATCACAAAAGTAGCATATGTGTTCTTGGCTGTTTTTAGACTATCAGCACATAATGGAAATCTGAGATAAATTATACTGTAAACATATCATCTAGTTATTATTTGCAGTTTTCTTTGTTACGTAAATCACTTTTAAGCGTGTCCTGTCCTGGCAACATTAAAAAAAAAAAAAAAAAAAACATTATGGTGGGTCTAGCTACCTCGCATTGTAGGTGAGATTTGCTTTTTATAAAGGGGGTATTGAGATATTCATCCTGTACCTTAATCAGCTTTTTAAAAAATAAATAAAGAAGAAAAAATCAGACAGGTGATACAAGTGAGATTTCTTCCATTCAGCCTTTCCCCAATTTGTCCCTGTGGATTGATATTTCATCCTTCCTAACTTCCTGTTTTAATCATTATAAACCATGTTGTACTTAAGCTTTCATTTGAAGTTTTAAGGGAATTTGAAGTTGAATAATCACATAAATGCTCAAATCTAATGAATAATTAAATTTAGGTGAATTTCACTTTCCCAAAACCTGTTTTAGCTGTAATCTCTGTTTGCTCCAGTAACTATGATATGTTTTGACCCCGAATCAAACCAAAATCCCCCTGGTGGGTATGTATTGAGGCATATGGCAGTAGGAAGCGTCCCGTGGGTAGACGGCATGAATCAACCAAAAATACCAGCATCTGCAATAGCACCAAGGAGGACGTGTGGAGGATAATAAAAAAAAAGGGAAATAAAAAAAAAAGATACAATGAACTACATGTGTCCCATAGGTATTCATTTCAGATGGTTTTAGTTCATGAAAACCCATCCTTGAAGAGTTTAGACGTGGATCACATTGACTAAATTTCATGTACCTGTGGATTTAGAATCCAGTCTGATCTCAAAGTGGCATGTGGTGAGAGCCGGCTGCTTTCACTATAAGATTCTGAGCGCTGTGGAGACCCAGCCTGGTATTGGCAGATGTCCTTTCATTCACATAAACACCATTTTCCTGAGAGCTATTAATCACAGCTATACACATCCAAAGATTAGACGCTTAAAGTTAATCGTTCAGGAATGGTGTTGTAATTCACCTCCCAGAATCACTCTTGTTTAGCGCGAGCGGGTCAACACGACACCTTCACAGCGAAGCTTGTTAAACTTCCCAAGAATGCTCCAATAAATTCTTTGTTGTTTGGAAACTGCATCGCCGACTCTTGCTGGCAATAGTTGCGTTAAGCATCATCCGAAGCCAAAACGTGTGATTCAGCGGTCTGAACAAGCAGCTGGAAGGTGCAAGCCAAGTCTGTCCTCTTTAAACTCAATGAAATGTCTTTTGGCAGTCTCTTGAGTTGAGTCATTGGCGAAGTTGAAAGAATAGAAAAAAAAATTAAAATTAAATCCAGTTGAGAAGCTTCTTCTTCTGATCTAACCATAGCAGGTTAGACCATTTTCAATAAAATAATGGTATGTTTTTTTAACAAGTGCATCCAAAAATCATAGCCATGCTCTCTCCTTGAATGTCCCACCATTAATTAAGTTGTTCTGCAGTTGCTGTTTGGAGAAAATACTACTTTCAATTCTTTCTTCTTTTTTTTTTCTATGCCTCAAAGTGCACTTGAAACTTGACAATTCTTAATTTCTCTTAATTTTCTTTTTTCTCGACTTATATCCACACTGTGGGAAAGACAGAAGAATGATGAGCTCCACGTTGAGAAATGATGGTACAACCTGGGATAGGGGTTGGTGTGATGTTTATCTCCCATTCAAGCATCGCATCAGAGCAGAAAACACACATAGGCTCATTGTTCTCCACTGTTGCTGTTTTCTGTCAGTTTTCACAGATAAAAATCAAATGAAGATAAAGGACTTTTTTGTTTATTTTAAAGCAATGAAGTCATATTTGTTCTGTTTTTCTATGCTGGTGAAAGAGTAGTTAGAGTGTTACCTTGCAGGTTTCTATCTGTATCACATTTTCTTAGAGAAATGCTTATATAAAATAAAATAAAAAGTGAGTTGTTACATTGATCTTTTTTTTTTTTTTTTACGCAAACATGCAAGTCATACTGACTTTTATTCCCCCACAGGTACTACCTGAAAGAGTCTCGGGGCAGCAGACGCTGGTTGATATTCCTTGAAGGTGTGTATCTGACCAACTTCTCACTTCTAAATCCATCTCCAAATCAAATTAGGAGTTAGTTGACGGGAGAACTGATTTGTGACGCGTCCCATTTCACGTGTTATTTTCCAGGCGGCTGGTACTGCTTTAACAAGGAGAACTGCGACAGCCGATACGAGACCATGAGGCGGTTTATGAGCTCTTCCAAGTGGCCCCAAACTAAAAGAGGTCAGTTTGTTTGCACCGCAGAGTGCAAAGTAGAAGCTGCCTTGACTTATTTGCAATGAAATGAGATCGGATGTGACGTGCACCCATTTACAGTGTTATTAAGACCTTGCATCCAGTCATGAGATGGTTCAGAATAGTTACCTGGCGCCCACTGCTAAGAAAGCATAGATTCCTTTCTCTGTCATTGCAGTGTAATGACTATAATCCATTTGGTAATGATGATGAGTAAGAGGAGGATGTGTCTGGGGATTGGGGGGGAGCCAGGATGGCTAATGATACATTTGTCTCTGCAGGCACGGGGATCCTGTCTCCACTGCCCGAGGAAAACCCTCACTGGTGGAACGCAAACATGGTGTAAGTTGACTGCTGTTTCTGTGCTCAGTGACTGCGTCGCTGAATTCCCTACTGCCAGTTTTAACTATGCATCATTTGTGCAGGTTCATTCCCTACTGCTCCAGTGACGTGTGGAGTGGTGTTACGGCTAAGACAGAGCAGAGTAAGAGATTATGAAGTCCTCTCAGTTGGGACAGTGTGTTCATCCTTAAGGAATGGCTATTTTAAACCTCTTCTTACTGTTTTTGCTCAGATGGATATGCTTTCATGGGCTCCCTGATTATCCAGGAAGTTGTAAAAAATCTTCTGGGCAAAGGTCTAGACAATGCCAGGGTCCTTCTGTTAGCAGGAAGCAGGTATTTAATTTGAAATTCTTGCAAATCAGTGTAGCTTTGCTGTACGCTTGCTGATACAGATGTGAATTGCTGCTGTTCGCAGTGCTGGCGGCACGGGGGTTCTGCTGAATGTGGATCGCGTAGCCGAGCTCCTGGAGGGGATGGGCTACGCTGGGATACAGGTGCGAGGCCTGTCCGACTCGGGCTGGTTCCTGGACAACAAGCAGTACCACTGCACGGATTGTGTGGACACAATCAGTTGCACGCCCACAGAGACTATCAAGAGAGGAATCAAGTAGGGGATAAATATAAAATCAAAAATTCATCTCACATTTGATTGTTTGGCAACTGAGAGCATGTTTGCTTATGTTGTTTTGTTGAATTTCCTGCAAGGTACTGGGGAGGTGTGGTGCCTGATAGGTGCAGGCAAAGCCATGAAGGAGAGGAGTGGAATTGTTTCTTTGGATACAGAGTCTTCCCATCAATTAAAAGTGAGTTTGTCATGTGGGGCCCCCTACTGGCCTGGTTAGACCAATACAACTGGAAGAAGCAGAGGACATGCCGATAAATTCACAAATGTCACATACAAAATTTTCTTTCCAGCATCAGTTCAGTTTTGTTTGTTTTTTTTTTTGTTTTTTTTGTTTTTTTTTTACAGCAGAGTCATAATTCAAAGCTGTATTGATGATTTTATCTTGTATCTAAGTTATCAGAGCATTTCTGATCATAATTGCATCAGCTAGTAGCATTTCTTAGCACTTTCAACAGTGTGTATGTATGCTATGGAAATGCTAAAATCTCACATTTAACTGTGACCTTCACAATGGCTTTTCCCATTTCACACTTCACTTATATGAAATATATCCAATGATGACCTCAGACCAAAAGTATGTAATATTAATTGGAGCTATATTACTACAATATGCAGAATATGTGAAGTTACTTTAACTCCTCAGTTAAAAAGCAGCTATAAAGCATCTCTCTGGTGGGTATAAAATGATGCCTGATCAGTATAAACATCTTGTGTTAGACAGTTCAATTTCTACCTACCCTGCAAAGGCACATATTTGCAAAGTGGCAAAATGATCAATTATAGAAACTTTCTTCCATGCTTTCTGGTGAACATAACAATAAACTTAGCTCTTCTTGCCTGAGTGCAGTGAGACTACATTGAATCCAATGCAAAGTACAAAGAATGCTAAATCAATTTAAAAGCAAAAAGGGGATTCATTAATAAGATTAAAGAAAAGGAGGTCAGTGGCTTGTGGGATCCTCTGAATGCCAGTCCTAAAATGAAAACCTGTTCAAAACATGGGCTGGCTCTGTTTGGTTTATTTTTATTATACTAAAATGCCTGTATCCACATTTATTATTAAGTTTTAAAACATTTTAAATTAATTTGCCTTTTTCTCTTTGTTTTTTTTTTTTTTTCTTCTTTTTTATCTCTGTGCAGGTCCCGTGTTTGTGGTCCAGTGGCTGTTTGATGAGGCTCAGTTGACAGTGGACAACATCCAGCTAACAGGTCAGCCTGTGCAGGAAGGCCAGTGGCGCTACATCCAGAATCTGGGCATTGAGCTGAGGAACACACTCAAAGATGTCCCGTAAGGCTGCATTCTTGCAATTTAGAAAGAGAATTAAAATATATATAAACATATATATTTATTTATTCATTATTTATCATGCCTTCTTTTCTTCAGGGCTATGTTTGCTCCAGCATGTTTATCACATGAAGTTATCACCAGAAAGTGAGTGAAATTTACCATTCTGGGGGACTTTGCATGTATTGTTTTTTCTACTGTGAGCTAACGGCGCCCTCTTGTGTTGTGATTCAGCTACTGGATCGACGTGCAAGTCAAAGGGACCTCTCTGCCCCGAGCCCTTCACTGCTGGGACCGCAGCCTCCATGACAGCAGAAACAACAAGCCACCGCCCAAAGCGTGTCCTGTGCATCTGATTGACAACTGCCCCTGGCCGCACTGCAACCCCACCTGCCCGACCATCCGGGACCAATTCACGGGGCAAGAGATGAGCGTCGTGCAGTTTCTCATGCACATGGGGTTCGACGTGCAGAAGATGGCCCAGCAGCAAGGCATGGACCCGAGCAAACTACTGGGCATGCTGAGCAGTGGCAGCTAAAAGGGACACACCGTCCAGTTTTAAGCTAGAACCAAGCAGGACTGGATGATCTTTCTGGCCTGTCTCCCATAACTGATACCTCTGCTCACCCTCCCCACTGCAGTTCCCCTTCTGTTGCTTCCAGACCTCCTTCCATCCCAGGTGCTTCAGTTTGACCCTGAAGTCATGTCTGACACACCAGGCTCCACCATGACCAGGCACCACTTCTTGCTATTATAAATGCTACAAAAAATTATATTTTATTTTTTAAAAACCAAAAAAAAAATAATAATAATAAAATAAAAACAACAATATCATGAATGTAATCCAGTTTTAAAGATGCTAACTGACTTCATGTCTTTAGTGCTGTCATCCTTTTGTACTGAATAGATTTAGTGAATGCAATAATGGTACAAAAAAATGCTGTTTTATATTTTAGGTAGTCGATAGTGTTGATAACAGAAAAAAAAATCCTATTACCTCTTGTGTATTAGAGATGTATTTCTATAGTTTCTAATAGAAAACACATCGGGTCATGTGTTTAGCAGAAACAGTGTAAAAACGATACAGAAAAGCACAGTCAGTAAAGCTCTTAAAAGTAAAAAGTCGCCTTTATTTTAGTGTTAAAGGTACCCAAATGAAAATAGGTTGTCAGATAGCATCTGCACTAAATATTGCGATGATTGTGAAAATAAGCAGGCAAAGTTGGAATTTCGCAGGAGCTTGTTTGAGACTTTCACAAGATGATCAGGTTTCAGCAAAAAGGTATATCGTGATCAAATCGATTTCAATTAAAACAGGAAGCAACATTTAATTCAATTGCTGCTACAATTATCTAACATAATCATTATTAGAGTTTTGATAGCTATATCTGTGAGATTTGTTTATAGAAGTTATTTTGACTGATACATTGACCCAAGCAAAAACACAGAGTAACTCTAGAGAAATGGATTCCAAAGGATTAATGTCCTCTGCCGTTTCCCATTGACATATATTTTTTTATAAACAATAGAACACCACTGACACGGGATAAGAGGTTTTTCAGTACGATAACCTGGAAAATAAATGACTGGTTAATCAGTTCAGGTATCTGCTCAGGTGGCTAACTTGTAGTCAGCTGCCTTCAATCATGCTGCTCTTGAATTGCCAACTATAGTTTTAAAACAATGTCACCTTAAACGAAAGTCTGTGACTTTTGCAAGCAGTCGGTTTTCTCCAATCTCCATACAGTCAGAGAAATCTTCAACCACATGCCACCGACACTGGCATGTCATTTAAATGACCTTAAACTGTAGCAACCGTACAATGAAAAATGCTGGTGATTTCGAAACAACAACTTTATGAAATATTGATATACCTATTTTAAAAGAAGCTGTTTTATTAAATGAGTGAGATAGTGAGACTTTCACCAGATAACAGCAAGTTGCTCTCTTTTATTCTTTTAATTACTTTATTCGTTTCATTCTTTTAAGCTTTCAACTTTTAAGCTTTCAACCTTGATACCTGAAACTGGTCTACACCTAGTTGAAATCGGACATGCGAATTTTTGCGGCTGAAGCTACATCAATATATAATAGTTCTAATCATACTCTGAAATGGTGTTAAGGTGGACCTGGAAACAAGTCACAAACAGCTATACATACACATTATAGTGCCATTACATCCATACCTCTTTCTTACGGACTGTGTCATCATCACAGGACACACACTTATGTCAGGTCAACTCCCTACAGCTCAACAGTCATCAAACTCAATGCACGATGAACATTTAAAGGGAGACAAATGTTGTGTATTGTATATTTTATGAGTATTTGTATAGATTATTTGGAAGTGTTCACCATTGTAACTCCATTCTTTTATTTCATCATAGAGATCACGTTTTAATATAATGACATTGTTTGTATGTAATGATGACTTTATAAAATATGCTTGTAAAGGACCTCTATTTTTCATCACACCGGAAAAAAAAAGAAGTATTACTAATTGTAATTTTATTCTGTAACATATTTTTTAACAAAAAAAAAAAAAAAGTAACTCAAGCTACATTGGTAACTTTTACATATTTATTTTGTTATGTAAATCATATTTATAAGTGCTATTTTTTACAGAGAAGTGATTCTTTGTAAATTGTAAATACATTGCTGTTCTTTGCTTTGTGCTGATTGCATGTCTTTGTATCACACCCAAAAAGGAAGACATTACATATACTACAAGGTGAACATTGCTGAGCAGTCTTGTTATTATTTACACGTTATAATGATCATTGGTAACAAGTTGTAGAGGGGCTAGAGTAGGATTTTATGACTTCTTAGAAGGAGGAAGAAACAAAAAAAATTGGGATTGTCAAAGATATCCCCTGCCATTTCCGTAGCTGGAAATTAAACAACTAGTGTTCAATGTAAGAAAAACAGGTCAAAAAAGTGTATAAACAGATGAGGACTATGTAAGCATAAAAAAATCGAAGGTGTCATGAAAACACTAATGGCAACTGCATCATTGCAATTATAATTCAATTCAAACTAAAAAAAAAAAAAACCTAGTATCATAAATGGCACTAGATGTGCAGCTTTCTTTTAACATTTTGTTTGCCTTAATTTGCTGCCTGTTTTTCATGTCAAAATTCTCATTTTATCTTGATCTATTTCTTTGGGATGATTCACCTGGATGGATGGACAGAGAGGCAAAAAGCTTGAAACATATATTTTTCTGGTAACACTTTATTTGAAGGGGGTTGAATAAGACTGACATGACACTGTCATAAACATGACGTAACACCTGTCATGAACATGAATAAGCCTTCATGAATATTTATGACTGTTGTGATAAAGCGTTATTCGGTAAATTATGACACTTTCAATACAAAGTTGACATTATTCAAAATGTCTTTGTTATGACAACTTGACATTAACCAATAAATCATTACTGACATAAATTTGTTATAAAAGTATTACTGATTTCACTTTAAAAATTAGGTAACTTTATGTTATTAAAGATAAAGTTTAAAGAGTAATGATTTCTTGGTTAATGTAAAGTTGTCATAACAAAGACATTTTGAATAATGTCAACTTTGTATTAAAAGTGTCATAATTTACGGAATGACGCTTTATGACAACAGTCATAAATATTCATGAAGGCTTATTCATGTTCATGACATGTGTTATGTCATGTTTATGAAAGTGTCATGTCAGTCTTATTCACCCCCCTTCAAATAAAATGTTACCATTTTTCTATATATTGAACTGGAAATGGTAAAAAATGCCATAATATTCCAGATTTTCCAGGCTGGTCTGGAACCACAAGCTTTTCCTGGGGCATTTTCTCAGTTTTGAGCAACCCCTGGCTAATGCCTTCTTGTGCAACACCGTTTGGAAAACAAAATTCTCGCTTACAGCACAGTCTGGGCTTTCTCCCTTTGACATAGACTGTGTCCAGGAGATTTTCCACCGGGCCAATCAGTGAACAGAAGGAAAAGTTGTAAACGATGACGCTGAATTTCTGCGCTGTTTTAGGAATGGCAGCAGAGGAAGTGAATGTAGCCGTTCAGTCCGTGTTGGCCACACTTCCAAATATTGAATTAATAATATAACTGTATTTGGAGTGGAGGATGGTTGTTTACAGCACAAGCAATTTGCAATAAGCTTCTTAGCGTGGAACTGGTGCATTATACATCATGAACAAACATTAGCAATTCAATAAAATCTAAAACCTAAACACACTCCACGCCTCCAGGAAGCAGTCGTTTCTCAACAGCTGATATCCCTGACCCTCTACAAAGCAAATAGCATAAGACAAAAGGCTTGTTTTCACCAGGCTTAAAAGAGCCACAACAGGTTCTTTTAATCCCAGTGTATTTTTTTCCACTTATGAAATTTGTAGGCGTTGCAAAATGCCCCAAATTCTGATCTTTCTAAGCTATTCTCATTTAATATTGTCTATAAAGCAGAGTTGTATTGGATCAAAATGCACTGGTAATCATCAACAGCTATGAAAAGATTATTGGGTAGTTGTCCCAGTAAAACCCATTCTTTGGTTCATAAATCAAAAAATTAAAGAACACTGATCCTACATGTTGAAGCTTTGTTCTGGAAATGCCGCCTCCCTCTCACGTGTTTAGGCTAAATTTGCTCTCCCTCGTGTATAATCATCTCTCTCAACTCATGTGTAATTTATGTCTTTAATGGAAGTTTTTAACCTCCCTCCCTGTCATTACACTCCATGTAAATGCCAGTCTCTTATGCTGAAGGGAGCTCTGAGTCAGCCTCTCCAGAAATACGACTCCCAGGGTGCCAGCCACATGTAGCCTCCCGCCCCTCTGTGGAATATAGACCCCCTATTTATAGAGCTGGCAAAGGCCTGGTGAGCCTGGGCTCTTCACAAACTTTTCATTTAAACAGTCACCCCTAGCAGTCCACCAAGTGCACAGTGACACTCAGACAGGGAGGAACAGGATGTGCCTGCTCAGGTAGAGAAAAGTAAAAAACCAAATCCAAAAGAGGCTGAAGGAGACTGGAAGAGCAACCCGAAGAACAAGATTGAATCTGATGGACAATTAAAGGCCTACTGGACCTGACAGGTGCAACAACAACTTGTCCACCTCTCATCACAAATAGCTATTGCTGAAGACCTAAGTCTGGATACAACTCTTAAAGGAATTCAGTGAGAACAGAAACTTCTTTTTACATTGGACAACAACAAAGGAAGGCCGTAAGCAAGAAAAGAATATACTTTAATGGACTTCAACTGTACCAATAATGGAAAAAGGAAAAAAATGGCTTGTTTATTGCCTTACTGAGTGAGTTTTGAGCACTGAAGATGGACGCAATTTAACGATTTGTGTGGCAAAGAAGAAACTTTCCAAAATCTTTTTTTTTTTTTTTTTATCTGATTGCCGAAGTCTTCCAGAGAAACCTCTACATATCTGTCTGTAAATGTAACCTGAGCTCAAGCAAGCTTTTCTAATTACAAAGCACGTTCAGACATTTGTAATTAGTGGTCATCTTTACGAGCAAACCAGGCAAGGGTGAGGTCCGTGTGAAAGGGGGGAGTAGGCCGTAAGAACACCAACACTGAGAACAAGAATATCCCAAAGGAAGACATCGGAACTTTGTAGGCCTAGCAGCGCTATGGATCCACATGGGGGACACTACCTCAACAAGGACGCTGTGCTGTCACCTTTGGGTGCTGCCCGAATATGCCAGCTGGTGCTTGGATGTACCATAATCGCCCTGGTGTCCCACAGCGCAGGTTACAGTGCAAACTATGGGACCTACTGTATGTTTGTTTGGTGCTTCAGCTTCACCGTCACACTGGTCGTTTTCACCCTGGACATCACACGGCTCCACAGCTGCATGCCAATTTCTTGGGACAACTTCACTGTCGCCTTCGCCATGCTGGCAACACTGATGTACATCACTGCCTCTGTGGTCTACCCAGTATACTTTCTCCAAACAGAGTACTCTGACGAGGACTACGAAGTACAAATCTACCGCATTTCCGTCACCGTCTGTTCCAGCGTCTGCTGCTTCCCATATGGAGTGGAAGTATTCTTGACCAGAGCAAAACCAGGAGCTGTGGTGGGCTACATGGCCACTGTGTCTGGTCTGCTCAAGGTAGTCCAGGGATTTGTGGCCTGTATCATCTTTGGGGCTCTTGCTAACGACAGCGAATACAACCAGTACATTGCCACCCAGTACTGCGTGGTGGTGTACAGCCTCTGTTTCTCTGTCACAGTGATTGTCATCATAGTGACAGTGTCCGGAAGAACCGCCGCGCTGAGGTTCCCATTTGACCGCTTTGTGGTCATCTACACGTTCTTTGCTGTGATCCTCTACCTCAGTACTGCACTGATCTGGCCCATCTTCAGCTTTGATAGAAAGTACGGCAGCAATGCTCGTCCTGAGGACTGCCCCCGGGGAGAATGCCCCTGGGACAGTAAGCTGGTTGTGGCAGTCTTCACCTGTGTCAACCTCGTGTTATATTTTATTGACCTTGTTTACTCTCAGAGGATTCGATTTGTCTCCAGCTCTGCCGTCTGAAAAACAAAAACAAACTTTTACTCCAGTTTCTGTGAAGAATATTTGATCCATAGCTCAATAGTGTTATATACTAAAAACCTTAAAAGTACTAGACAGTATTAAGCATGTTGCTTTCTCCGTTTGCCACTATTTGGTGCCATAAATGTACATTTCTAGAATTAGCAGCTTATTTATTGTTTTAAAGACTTCAACAAGATATACCTTAGAGAATTGCCTAATATGTAAGGTCTACTGTGTGCACCAAGACTGGATATTGGTTTTAGTATTCAAGAATTTTCTCTTTCTGTTTTCTGTTCTCTTCTTATTGCATTATATAATTGGTGGAGTGCAATTTGGTAATGAAATGTAAATGTATCTGATACATTTTAAAACCTAACTGACTTAACCTAACTGAGTATTTAATTGCTTTCTATCTACATTACAGTTTTAGCACTGAATGAATGTGGCATTCTTTATTCCAATATGTTTTCTAATATATATTCCAGTGTTCAATAAAATGCCCAAAACACAGACCATGTTTAGTTTTGCATCTCTTTCTTTATCTGAAGAAGTTTAAAAATTGTTCAGGCTGACTTTTAACTTGATTTCTTAAAGATTATATTTATTTCTTGCAAGTATGAAAGTAGAAGTGTGTAAAATTGTCTTTGCTTAGCACCTTTCACATATGAAACTCACAAAGTGCTTCACAAAACATAGGAAAAGCATATCAAAAATAACATCAAATTAAATTAAAAGCTTGTCTGTACAAATAGGTTTTTCGCTGTGCTAATGATAATCAGTGGAACTGAGACAATATAAAAACAATGGCAGAGAATTTCACAATTAGGGTGCACCTGCTTACAAAAGGAGTTTAATTGTCTTTTTGGCATTTTTTGTCTATTTTGTTTTTGTTTCTTACTTGAACAGAAGAAGCAATAAACAATAAGATGGATCTTTGCCTATTGTTACCCAAACTTGATAAACAAACTGTAAAATACAACTTCCAAATTTTGGATATTGCACTTCTTTTGTCTGAGTACAAGATATGACCACAATCAGAAGCTTGTTGATCTTTGGATATTGGATGTTTGGTTTGACAAACAATGGGCTCTCTCCACTACAAATATTATTAACATG